CGGCAAGGGGTATCCCGGTGTGATTTTGGCATCCCTCCACATGGCGTCAGTGAAAGCGGAGCAGAGGACAGGCTCTGCCCGCTGCTGGGGACCCGCCGGGGGCGATTCTCCACACTCAGGGTGAAGGCAAAGCCCAGGAGACCAGGTCTTGCCACAACCTCCTGTTTGCCCAGTGTTTACACTGTGGCCGAAAAACTGCAGCTACTGGTTTTCTTGTTGTTTTCCACTCTTCCACAGAGAAGTTGGGGGCTGGGTGCCACGCTGTGCCACCAGCACACCCAGCCCGGCGGGCTGACGTGCCACACGGTGGGGTGGCCCCTTTACAGACCAGGAACAGGGGAGCCTGAAAGGTTGGTGTGGTTTTTTTTTTTCCTTTCCAGAGCTTCAGTTTTAACTTGAGGTCCACAGACCCTCACAACCACACTCTGCTCTTTCCTAGGCTAAGGCCAGGACTTGCAGTTCAGGTCTGCCCCACAGGCTTTGGCCAAACTCTCCTGGCATTATCATCCTCTGTCTTCTCCTCCCAAAGCTGCTCCTTCTGGGCCCAGCTGGGCTTTTTATGTGCTTTCCAAGAAGCAGATTCTTGGAGCAGGAGCCCTGAAAAAAAGCAGACAGCTAATGGGATCCCTGTTGCTGTAAACATGTTTCTACGAAATCTTGCGTTCAACCCCCGAGAGATGGGCTGCGCGCACCCCGCCTGTCCCCCAGGCAGCTGACCACGCACCCGTGCCTTCAAGGTGTCATGCACAGTCAAAAGGTCTTTGCACAGCTTGTTCCTGACTTGTCTGGGGCCAAGAGGGGAGGTCAGCAGGGACAAGCTCGTGCTGACCGTTGTGCCTAGCAAAATCTGGGCATGGCTCCTTCCATGTACAGACTAACTCAGCTGCAAGTCGGATGCCCGGGAACTGGTACAGCTGAGCCACACGAAGCTCCAGTCCAGGCTGGCAAACTAAGACAACTCAGCTGTTCAAGAAGTCTTGTGTTCGAAGCAGCGGGCAAAGATGCAGCTTGAGACTCTGCCACAGACTCACTCCATGATTTTAGGTGACATCTCCAGGTCTTGAGCAGCTGCAGAATTAGGGCAGCAATTCTTCCTGCTTTCATCCCCTGGCTGTGGGATTTCTATAGCCCAGGAGCAGTGCTCAGTATCCAGCACAGGAAGGATCTTGTTGCAGAGGATAAAGATGTTAGGCATGTTATATACGCAGTAGTAACTGCTGACTGCCCCTCCAGGGAGACAGTGATTTTCTCTGTGCTGCTTTTCCTGCAGAGTGGAGCTCAGCCTGCTCCCCTGGCTTGGGCTCCATGCAACGTGTTTTTGATGTTGCAGAAGACCAGCAGGAAACTCAGAGCATCCTTCGCCGAGAGGAGCCATCTGCTCCCCCGGGCAGGGGCCAGCAGTGGCGCCAGGCAGCTGCAGAGCAGAGCCCTGTGCTGGAGTAGCAGATAACCCTTGACAGATGTGCAGCCAGCACAAAGAAAAAGAAGCAAGAGAGAAGGATGGAAAACATCTGGAAACAGAAAGAGCTTGGAAGTGGTCATGATTTATGCAGCAAATTAACAGCAACAAAAAGTTGTGATCCCTGGAAAGCTTTGCAAATCCCCCTGCTATCATTAGCTGTTGGCTCTGGAGGTGGTTTGCCAAACCAGTTTTCCAGCTGGGATGATGCTAGGGTTTTTTTTCACCCACTCCCATGTTCAACACCTGCTTAAAGCACCGTCCTTGTGTAAGGTTGGCTGGCACCCAGCTCTGGCCAGGCTGAGGATGGAATAAAACCTGAGGTCAGGGTTGAGGCACAGGCAATGTATTCGCTTCTCAGCACTGACCCTGATGGTCTTCTCGTAGGAGGCTTCCTTCCCTGTGAAGCAGAACTTCACATACCCCATGGCTGTGGCGATAGGCTCTGGATAGTCTCTGTTAGCTGTGGTTCTTGCAGCCAGACACCATCAAATGCAAATGCGAAGGGAAGGGAGCAAAGCCACCAGGGTCTTTGTTGTCACAGCTGAGGCTGGGGACCCAAGACATGCAGCATTCAGTGTAGCGTCATCCCTCTCAACCAAAACTAACAGCAACAGATGCTTCAGTCCCAACTGAATGACCTCAGCAACACATACATATATAAAGTGCTTTATTGCAGCATCAGAATAAAGAATTCTTCTCTACGAAATTTTGTAGGAATAAAAGACATTTTATATATATTATATATAAAAAACCACAATAAACTTAAGGAGTGGAAGCTTAGAGATTCATCACTTAAATAGCAGTGGGCTGGACAGAATCTTTGATGGCATATAAAAATAAACGTTTGCTTAATGTCTACTTTTCTCATGGTGCCCCGCAAAGTCTTCCAGTGTGTAAGGTGCTTGTATGAGGAACAACACTGCTTCTTCCCTCTCATGCTCCAGTTCTTGCCTGTATCATCCCAACCACAGAGGCAGTGAAGCAGAACAGCCACTTAGCTTTCAAACAGCTTTGGGGGTGGCTCAATGCAAAAATTTTTTCTACGTGCCCCTAGATGGGAACTCCATTTATCACAGAAATTCTAGGTTCTTTTGGGTGGTCAGACTGGTTGACATACCCAGTATAAAGAGGAGGATGATGCAAATCCTGGGCAACAATCCTTATTATAAGAGCACTTCCTCAGAGAGCAGCCAGTCTAACAAATTGGCTGAGCTATTGAAAGTCTCCTTCAAGAAAGGCTGTTTTTGCAGAGGTCCTGTTTCCTTGCGTGGGTCCAATACTGGACACTAGGCACATTTAACCGGAGGTTGTTTTAAAGAAATCTGTGCACTGATGGTAAATAAGCTCATCTGAGAGTCTGCTGATGTTAAGGATGACATATGATACAGGAGAGAAAATAAGAAGATGCTCTGCCCCATGACAGAAGATAACAAGCTCATCCTTCCATGAGCTTGGCTTGGTCAATTTGTCTTCTTCCTGTACAAACACCTCCAAGGCTGTTGCTGAGCCTCCCTGCACATGTCCCTGGCTCCCAGAACCAAGTCACCAGATCACTGCCACCCCCTCTTGACCACCTCTTTATGACCTACCTCTTTACCAGAAACTAGTGAGCAAATGACCATTTGGGTTAGGGAACATGCAATGGCCATGAAAATTTACCAGGGTCTGCCTCTCCATCCATGCTTATTTGGTTGCGTCTTCCTTCTCATCCTTTACATAACACTGGTCATCTCAGACTGCACACCTGTTGGGGAATGGACGGTGCCTGCCTATGTTTTGATAGCACCCATAACCAGAGTCTGGGGATAGGAGTGTGGAATAATGGTTAAATAAGAAGTCTTAGGTACTGATGACCAAGGATGCAATATTCTATCGGTAAACCAAGGCAAAAGGATCAACATTCACTCAACATTCATAAGACACTCCCAGAAAGAATCCCCAAAGAGCTACCAGACTGTGGATATTCACTGGCCATGGAGAAATCTCCTGCAAGAAGGACAGACCTAGCACAGGAGTCAACCAAGGACCTCTGCACCCAGACAGGTGTTTTTTTGTCCAACAGTGTCCTGCAGAAAAACATGGAGTAGCCAGCAGCCTTGGGTGAAACCTCTAGTCTAGAAATGACTCCATTCTTCTTTACATGTGCTTGACTTGCTCTTTTATTTCCCCTGATGCATAAAATTTGCTAAATGAAGTATGAACAGTGTCTGCCAGGTTCAGCAACTGAATATCCAGGGATAAAGGTATTCAGCCTAGTTTCTCTGCAGGAAACTTGGCAGGTCCCAAAATATGCTGGGAGAAACTGCCATGAACCTGTGAAAAGCTGAATAAAACCCAGGCAAGACCAAAGTGTCCACAGAACATCATGATCCATGATCTGCAGACACCAGGTATTGACATTATTAGCACGTGTGTGTGTCTTCCTCCTTTGGAGGCACACTTGCGAGCCTGGCCAGGCAGTGAGTCTGAGGAGTGCAGGGTGTGCCCACAACTTGCTTTCTCTGGGCTGCCTCTTGCCTGGGACCTGGGCAGACACAGCATGGAGCAGGGCCCAAGGCCAGCAGCAGACCAGCAAGGGACAATGCTGAGTGCATTCCCATCCCCATGGTCAACTTAGCTCAGTGCTTTTTGCTCCTCTCCAGCAATGGCACAAGCGGTGGCTGAGCTGCCTCCTGACACTGCGGGGGAAACACAGGACTTTCTACTGGGCCATGCCACAGGTGCTCCCGAGCACTGAGGTGTGGAGGTGGGACTTGCATGGGTGCTGCCACCTTGCTGACCCAAGCGCTGAGGCAGAGGGGCTGAAATGCACACAGATGGTGTCCTGCCCATGCTGACTTCCTCTGAGGTCCACCCGTGTCTGGCTTCGGTGTTCCCTTTCACAGCCAAAACCGCAGTGGCAAGGCAATCTTGCCAAGGGAGCCCAGGTGGCCAGTCTCCTCCTGCCCCACACACCCCCCGGACTCATGAAACCCTGCTAAGCCTCTCCCTGCTCCTTCCCAACCACACATGTAAAAACCCAAGGAGAGGGGAGGCCCTGCGCTGTACACATGGCTGGGACAGTCCTGCCCCTCCCTAGGAGGACCCATCCCCACTTTCAGGCAGCTCTGCCTGCAGCAGGCCAGCTCCTCAGATGCGGCGTGAAGCCAGCAGGAGCTGAGGCCATTTCACTGGGCTCAGCTTTCAGGTTGCATTGAAAGATCACAGAGAATAAAAGCAATCAGGAGCAGCCCCCTGTTCCCTTTACACCTTCCATCCCCTGCAGCTCCCTGTGTGCCAGCTCAGGCACCCCGGGGTGCAGGACCGCCCTGGGTGGCATGGCAGGGATCGCACCACAATAACCTCTGGCACCCTCGGAAATCCGAGGGGGGCCAAGGCGCCCCTCTGAGGGGATGAGACGGATGGCACATCCTCCCCATTCTGCCCGGTGCCAGTGAGGAGCCCATGAGCAGGACCTGGGCTTCACCAGGCTGGGCTGGGCTGGGAGCTGGCAGTGGCCGGCTGGCAGTGGCCGTGGCTCCTCTGAGCGTGGCTGTGGCTAGTACTCCTTGGCCTCCTGCAGCTGGGAGAGGTACTCCTCCTCGGTGGGGTTGTCAGCACACCGTTGCCCGTTGTTGGGGGGCCGGACAGCATGGTAGCGGCTCCAGTCACCCTTACAGAGGATCCAGGGCAGCATGTCCACCTTGTAGTGCAGCTCTGGGGAGAACTCGGTGCTAATGAGGTTGGGGACACCAGCCCTTTTTGCGGGTGTGCTCGTCGTAGCAGCAGTGCTGGGCAGCCAGGGTGGTGCTGTCAAGGGAGAGCATGGAGCGCAGGCAGAAGCGCGCCGTTGGCTTGTAGATGTCCAGGCGTTCCTTGGGGCCACTGGCATCCCGCCATCGGAAGCTCTTGCCCTGCCGCTCATCCCGCAGGTTGACGGCACTGTAGACAGCCTCCAGTGGGTAGGAGCAGGGGCAGCTGGGCAGGTCCGTCAGCACCTTGCTCAGGTATTTGGTGAGGAAGTCACTCTTGCAGTTCAGCCACTTCTCACAGCTGTCCACCTCTGGGGGGGGGGGAAGGCACCGAAAGGGGGAGGGCACGCGCAACCTACACCCCACTTTACCCAGCTGCCATTTGCCCTCAGCCTTGCCAGCACCACCAGTGGAATCTGCAAGTGCCAGGCAGGAGCAGCCAGGCTCCTGGGACGAGCTGGAGCCAGGCTCCATCCCCGAGGCAGGGACAGAGGGAAGGGGTTTTATGCTGGGGCAGAGCTGCCCCTCACAGGGGCTCTGCCCAGGGTACCCACTGCTACAGGGGCCAGGCTGGCAGCATCCCCCCATGGGAGAGGGCACGTGGCAGGCTGGCCTCAGCCAAAGCAGGACCATGCATGTACCAGGGCTGTGGGAGAAACTGGGTTCCCCAGCATGACTGCCGAAGCCTGCATTGGTTTGGGTGACTTAGGTCTGGACACAAGATGCGTGAGCCCTTGGCAGAGTCCTCCCCACAGCCAGTTACGCCCCGCGTGGGGTCTGGCACTGAGCCCCCAGTGCAAGGCAGAGGCAGAGGCTGACCTGAGTTGAACAGCTCTGTGGTGTTGTCGCTTTTGAAAGGCGTCTCCTCTGTGGGGAAGACCATTTCCCCCTCTGCTCCTTGAGAGGGGAAAAAAAAAAAACAGAGCCAGGTTGAACACCAGGAGGAGTGGTGGGTTTTTTGCCTCCATAAGGGCACCAGACACCATCCATCTTCCACCCCCCTCTCCCATCACTGCTTTGGCAACATGGCCCTGTGCCTGCAAGGAAGGGCAAGCAGCAAGACACACAGGATAGACCCACCCACGACTGCGAGTTATGCAAATCCCAGTGGATGGAGCTGGCTCCCAATATGCCTCAGGAGAGCATTTCAAGCTGCCAGTGTGAGAGAGGTGCAAGGAGTCGCACACCAAGCTGGACGCCAGCTCTGCCACCCTTGGGCACCACGTAATTGCCTGGGGAGCCATGAAGCCCCATCAGAGCTTCTTCATGGAAACAAACCCCTACGGTCATTAGCCCAGATCACATTAAACATAACTCGTTCTTGAAGCATGAGCAATGCTCACAGCCTGCAGCAGCGGGGGACCAGCCCACATCAGGGTTGACCAGTGCCCAAGCACTGGTATGGCCAAGGGCTCACCAGGGCAGCGCGGCAGGTCACAGGTCCTCGACTCTGTCGCTGTGCAGGCATAGCCACAGGATCGGGTCCTCTTCTGGTTGCCACTGCCACAGGTGATGCTGCAAGGGGACCACGGGCTCCACTCCTCCTCATCTTCATAGTCTATGCACGCCAGGGGAGAGGCAGAGAGCAAAGCCTCAGCAGAAGGGGAGCCAGCGGCCACCCAGGACCTTCCTCAGCTCTTCCCCGTCTCTGGATTGTCCTTTACAGGGACAAGGGCCACTGCTGCCTAGGGCACACGTGATGCCAAGCGCCAACCTGTCCTCGCTGGCAACCCCAGGGAAGCAGCCCCTAAGCAAAGGTTCTCGTCCTCACAGATTTGCTCATGCCAGACAGGCATCGCTGCCCAGCCCCATCCTCACCAAACCTGCCTGATGCACTGGCCATGATGCTGAAGCATCACATGTTAGAAAAGACTGGCTGGTTTTGGGCTCATGGCCAGGAAGCTGCAGGAGGGAGCTGCTGTGGTGCCCTGGCTTGTCTGCCCAGCTGCATCTGCTGTCTATCCCTCTGCAGCTCCTCTCCTGGGGGGGACCCAGGTCTGTGGCAAAAGCTTCTGGCACTGGTGTCACTGCAGGGACCCGAGTCGATGGCAGCAGCATTTGCCATTAAACATTTACACTGTATTTCTCATCTAAGCATGCCTTCGCTAGAGTCCGTGCTCCAGTCTGATTGCATGCAAGGGCAACTCCTGCTGGGACGCTGGTGTGTCTGACGGCTGGCAGCCCCAGCTGGGTGCTGGCCTTGCTCCTTGGCATGCTTACTTATTTTTTAAGTAGGAGCTGAGCACCAGCATGCTGTGATCCCCAGTGCAGGGCTGCTCCCCCTGCAACGAGACAGGGCTGCAGGTCAGGCAGGCATGGGAGGGCAGTTCTGGTCTGCAGGGCAGCAGCAGTGTGTGTGTGCCCAAGAGGACTCACCGTAATTATATTTTTCCTTGAAGATCCAGTTCTTCTGCCCAGGCCACCGCTGGTCCCAGTCACCTCCCACTCCACTGAGCACGGATTCCTCCTCCTCATACTCTGCTGTGTAATCTTCCTCCTCCTCCTCCTCGTCCTCCTCCCTGTCCCCTGCATCCAGGTTGTCATCCTCTTCCTCCTCCTCTTCCTCTTCCTCCTCCTCTTCTTCAGCAGGGTCAGTGTATTCCCAGAAGAGGGGCCAGAAGAGGTCCTTGTGGGACAACCACTCAGAGGACGTCAGGGACCAGTCATTGCTTGTCTCCTTCAACAAGTCCATCTCCATTTCAGCCTGAGGATCATCCACCACTTCAATGGTCACCTGGAGGCCAGATATGAGGCAGGGCAGTGAGCTGGGACACAGTGCTGGGACAGACCTACCAGCCCATGCACTGGTTCCCAGCCCGAGAGGCCAGAGATGCTTTGGGCTATAGGACCATGCAAGGAGAGCAAGAGTCTCGCCTCATCCAGAGGGACTGAGCAGGGCCAGAGTGGGAGGCACAGGGGGGCTGGTGGTCACCCACAGGGACCAATACCACCCTCAAAAATTGAGACGTTGCCCCCGTAGGAGCGTTTGCTCCTGCTCTACAGAGAGAGACTGCAGGGGGCAGGGAAAAGGCCATGAGCAAATTCCTCTGGCAAGGAACTTGTCTGTGCCAGCTATTTGCACTTGGTAGTTAGCAAGAAGACAGACGGCAGTGGCCACACAGACCCCATTCATGAGATCTTCCCTCTTAGGGAACCAAGGGAGGCTGGGGAGCACACGCGTTGCCACCTGCATCCTCCCCGCGACCCACCCAGACCTCCTCCCCACCTGGATGTTGGGGTTCTGGGCGCTCAGGTCCACATTGGCCAGGCCTGGTAAGCTCTGCAGGTCCAGCACGAAAGGCAGGCTCTCCTCCCGGCCAGCGCTGCCGGGCTG